CATGGGTTTGGCGAAGTTGGTTAGAGTGGATGTGCTCCTTACTATATCTGTATCCAAGTTCAAATCCCCCTCCCAATAGTTTAGATTAATTTACTGTAGAATATCGCTTGTATTAAAAAGAAGAAGAAGAAGAAGAAGAAGCTATTTTAGGGATTAATAATTGTCTTCTTTTTCTAATAAATTATTTTTACACATGTGTCAAAATGTTATCCGCATAAAAGAGATACATTATCCAAAAATAATAAGGTGAGATATAGTCGTAGATTAGAATGCATGATATAGTTTATACATCTTCACCTTGAAATGTATATAATATGTGCGATGATAGGGTTGTAGATAAATATCTATATTAAGTGTTCTAAATTGCGATGATAAAGTTTGGATCCATTAATATACATTCTTGTCTTGTAGGTAGCACAAAGTGACACGAAGTAGGGACATAAACTTGTGTATTATTATTGCTTTGTTTACTCTTATATCGTCATTATGTTAGCTTTGAACTTCACTTCAGGTCACATGTGCTAATTTCAGGTCTTGTTGGTACAATTTTAATTCTCAATGTTAATCAACACCTAGATTCCTTTTAGGTGGAGAACACTCCATTATCTTTAGCCCTCAAATTTGTAGTATAGTGTGCCATTTTGGCCTTTTCCAACACAAATACTATGTATATTTGTCAATTACGACCATACATTTCGGACATTATTCTAGCAATGAGTTCAATGATAGTCAAGACATTCGGATTAGTGTAATAAAAATACTAAAATCAGTTGTATACACGTGTACGTGTTGATTTTGACCGTCGATGTTTTATGTATCAAGATGATGACAGATTTCTCTACTTGATGGGTTGAACATGATCTCACTGCCTCAAACGTTGTGTCTAATCTCCTTGGCCTTCCCAACCCCATTTGAATCACAAGAAATTTTTGGTGCTCAGGAAATTTATCAAGCATGAGATACAAGTACTTGCATTTCATTTTTAGTATTTAAAAACATGAAGTATTTAAGAAATAGAATAAAAAGGAAGCTTCAAACAGACAAGAATATTCGAAAAGATATTGCAATATATGCATAGGATATATTCGAACAAAGCATGTCGGGACATTTGTCCATATCAATTTATTGTTGAGGAATTGATTGACGGGGATGAAGTTTTGTCTTTTCTCCGTCTTATGTTCTCTTGCTGCGTGAGACCGTGAGAGAGAAAGAGAGAGAAGGATCGACAAACTCAAAGATTGGTGCGAATGCAGCGTACCATTATAGAACTTTCCACTCTTTTCATAATTATGAACACCTTGAAACTGATGGATCCCCGGTGATGTGGTTTCGGACCCATCTAAGAATATTCCAATGTATTTGTAAAATAATGTGACACTACCAAGTTTTGAACTGTAAAATTAGCCGATCGATTTAATCGTTGTACGAGTTAATTTTGAAATTAATTGAGAGTACATAATACGAGGCGGGGATTTATCCTCATACCTAAAAAATGTTATACCAAGTGAGCATATTCTTTGCATCATTCTAACATGTCCTCACTATGGCAGCTTTGGACTTCATTTGGGTCAAATGTGACCACTTCCAACTCTACGGCTTGTTTCTGCAATGTACTCACTCAAGTCAAGAACTGATGAATGTTTTAATCGTTTGTGCTAGGTGGGGACTCTCTTGTATTATCTTCCACCTAATCCCTTGGCCTTTTTCAGCACATGTGCTTTGTCTACCAGTAAATAAATAAAGGAAAATTTTCCCAACATGATATATTAATGTGATTCAACATGACATATTGAACTTGATCTGATCACCATCGCAATAGTTATCTATATCTTCCTGTTGAACGCATGCAACATGTTTTATATATTTGCAAAATAGAGTTCTAGTCATACCTAATCTAATTTCAACTAGTTTTAAATCATAAAACCAAACCATGATAAACTGAGGTCACTGTTGAGTGTTTGACGTTATATTTTTACATTTGAGATTTTGATAATTAATTCAAGACCCTAATCTGAATCGTTCAAGATACTTTTACAACAGATTAAATCATACCGTAAAAACTTATAGATCTAGCGCGGTTGACTACTACGCAAATTGAATTACTCTAATTTTTCTTGTAAATAAGAAAGACAAAAAGCTGCAAACTAAGGTAGCATAGATAGATACATTGCGTTTATTGGTTTGTTTACATAATGTGTCCCCATCATCTGGCAGCTTTCGACTTCATTTAGGCCACTTCAACTCATCTCTTAATCCCTTTCGCCCTTTTGGTCTTTTCCAACACAAGTAATATAAGAGCAATGATTACGATTCTTGATTAAGGAAAATTTCCTAGCATGATGTGATTTGATGCGATAGAGTGGCGCAACATGAGAAATAGTGGACTTTCATCTGATCACTATCTATCCCTAGATTTGTCTACTTTTCTATATATATATATATATTTTTCCAGATGTCTACTTTTCTATTCCCTTATACGGATTAACAAAGTACAAAACGACGCAGTATTTTTCAATTTTTCTAGGCATGCAACACGACAAATATACCATATTTGTAATTAAATAACTAAACGTGTTTCAACTCACATCTTTGGATTAAAATACAGATTTTTTTTTTGGACCAAAAATACAGATTAAAACATATAACTCCTACAATTTTAAATCACGCCACCAACCACCGATGATAAGCTGAAGCCACCGATGAGTGTCTAAAGCCATCCCTTTCTTTCAATTTCAATGTACGCTAAATTAATTTCTAACGTCCAAGCCATCCTTTTCTTGCATTACATTATATATGTGATTTTGGTGATATCAATATGGATGTTTGTGCAAATTTCCTACTGGAGAATATTTGCGGATCAATCTTTTCTCTTGAACATTCTTCTATTAGATTATCAATGAAAAATCAACGGTGTAGTAGTGGTCAAGGGCGCTCTGATGTCTAAATTAGTAATATAATTTCGGAAGATACAGATAATGCTAAAAAGACAAGATATTTCTCTACAGAAGATATGTGACTTGGGAGCTGAGTAAATAAGAGAAGTGACGACAGCCTGAACTGGTCAGCCATGAAGATAAAAGCAGGGGAGAATTTCAGCTAGAGAGAGATAGAGTAATTTTCGGGTAAAAATCTAATTGAGAGAGGAATTTCCAATTGAAATAGAAATTCAAGATTACCTTCCTTCTTTCCTCCTTTTAAATAGCCTTCCTTCCTTATAACTTCTTTTTCTTTTCGACTATCATTTTCGCATGTGCTTCCGCGCTTGCGAGAGATTTAAAAAAAAATTTTAATTTATTTTAGAATTAAGAAATATTAATATGGGTAGTTATGTTCCACAAAAGTATGACATAGTATCTGATGTTATTTTTAATTTTAATTTTTTTAATATGTGAATTAACCATATTATTATCATTTAATTAATAATTTTAACTCTTAATGTTTGAATTAAGCAAAGACATTTTTTGGTATTTTGAATGTTTCACCATTCTCTGTCTTTTGCTTTATATATATATTTTTCCATTTATGGAGGGAATAAATGAAAATTATTCTTTTTATGATTAATAGAATTGAAGGAAGTTATGGAAGGAAATAAATGAATGGAGAGAATTTATGAAATTTATTCCCTCAACCTAAATAGGTAACTCCTGTATTAAATATATATTAAATCAAAATATTAATTAAATAATATAAGATTTTTCTTTTCCACGTGTGCCTCTTGATTAGGCGTTGAATTTATTTGCTTCTATAAATATAAAGCATTGCAAAGAATCCACTAGTATAATGATTTAGATTAATTACTTCCCAACAAAATCCTAAGCTAATAATTTGGATTAAATGCTCTCCAACAAAGTCCTGAATTCGAGTCCTAACATCCATATCAGTATTGTGTGTGTGAGTTTAGTATAATATCACCCCTCTCAATAGACAAAAAATCCTAAAACTTTTTTAGGGTTGCAGGGTCAAGGTCGGTATATCGTCAGCTAGTCCGGTCGACCCATAGATACTTGGGTTAAGTTGGGCTTAGACCACAAGCTCCCTTGTGGCCCAAATGAACTAAAAAACACAAAATACTATTTCCTTTCATTGCACTAGTGATGATCAGTCATGGATCATGTAAGATGTTATATATCAGAGGGCAGAGCCAATTTTTGTAGCTTCAAAAACAAAAACCAAAACAAAAGAACATACCTACTGTATGAGCAAATATTTTCGTCTCCAATCACAGCGCGCCATGTGGAAAAGAAGATTATCTCTTAAATTAATTAATTAAACCAGTTTATTTGGTTAATTAATTAATTAGGATAAATATCTTAATTAATATAATATTATCTTTATTTAATAAGATAATATCATTAATTCAGATATTATCCTAATAAAGAGAAGATAATATCATTAATTCATATATTATCTTCATAAAAAGAGATAATATTATTTAATTCAGATATTTTCTAAGTCTGACTCGATCCCTATGAATTTGGATAGAGAATAAATTCAGCATATTCTCTACGAAACCCTAGCCCCAAGGCTATAACTTCGTTCATCATTCAAGGTACATCTAAATCTACTCCTAAACCTGAGAAAAATATCCAAAGCTCTCTCTCCCTCTCCACTCTCCATATTTTCTCCACACGACTCTGGCCACCATACAAGGCTCCGGCCGCTCGGTTCACATCATACAACTCCGTACCATTTACTTAGCTATTGTTTTCCTACAAACACTCGAATTAACTTAAGCATCGGACGACCTTTGGTCAACACCCCCGGGTGTGGTCTATTTACTCCAGTCTTTTTTACAGGAATGGGGTGTGATCTATTTACTCAAGTCTTTTTTAGAGGAAACGAGGAAGAGAGAGAAGGAAGATCGAAAGTTGAAGGATCTAGAAGTGAATATTGTCCAGCGAGATTATTTGCACAAACCCCTACAATACGACACCAAAAAAAAAAAAAAAAAAAAAAAAAAAAAAAAAAAGTACGACACCACCATTACAAGGTCAGCTCCACACTACACACGGTGGACGCGTTCACATTTTACCCGAGCTCTCCACCCTCACTTTTCCATCGTCATCAATGCGCACCTCCACGCGCGCTTTTCCTCCTCCATCCAAACGACCCACGTCGTTGAAATTTTGACCATGCATCTGGTCAGACGAATAGAGCTTACCCGCCACCTCACCTGGCCTGGTCTCCGCCACATCAACCTCCTCCCTCTCCACAACATCGGTTGGCCGAGTTAACTTGCTTTTAATGGCACCGGTCACGCCGCCAAATGAGCTCAACATATTTCCCTTGGCTGCCTTCCCTTTCTCAGCCTCAATGTCACGTGCCTCACGGGATCGGCCACCAG